CAGCATACGTAGCCATTCCCAAGTATAAGGGGCTTGTCGCTGGAAAACTTCAATAAAAGATGCCGACGTCTCCTCTGATGATGAGCGCTAGCAATATGCTATGTGTTTACATCCATTGCCGCCATGTTTGTAATGACTTGTCGCAAGAACAAACATATTCACGCGTGACTTTAATAGCATTTCTTACTTAATGGAAACACCACAGTTGCGAAACTGTGTTTTTTCGACATTAACAGAATATCRACAAAGTTTTGCGCACATTTGCAATGGAAACGCAGYTACTGAAACAATTCAAAGCTAAAACGGGGAAACAAAAATGAAAACACGAATTTAAAAAAAATGTTGTCAATGCTTACTGAAGACAGTGTTCCATCAGAACCAAACCATCATTTTAAACTTACTGGTTCAGCAAACGCATAATCCCATATAATRGTGGCCAAAGCATTGTTGTCTTGACTGCCATGAACAATGACCACCACCGGCTGAGACATCAGCTGAAACCAAACAGCAAGTTTGTGTTTTATGTATGTTTACAACAAGCTGTACATTTCATGTCAGATGCATTAAAGAGAAGTTATCCTGTGCTACGGCTGCTGTGTTAAATGAACGTGAACAATAAAATTCATTAACATAGTTACAGTTAGAACTAGAGAAACAGTCTTTTCTGCAAAAATGCAGTGTAAATACAAAAAAGTAGCTGAAAAAGCTCAAACATAGCTAAAAAGGTAGCTGAAAAAATGTAGAAAAATGCTCAAATTAGCAGAGATAAACTGAAATAAGCTGAAGGAAGCTGAGATTAGARTAAACAAGCTGTAAAAAAACAGAGCAACAGGTGAACTGAGCAGTAAAAAGTTGTAAACAACACAAAGACTTTGAAGGATTTTGAAGGAAACTATTCATTTACAATGAGAAAAAGTGGCTGAAAAAGCTAAATATTTCAAAAAGTTAAAATTGCACAAATACAAAAAGTCTKAGCAGGAATGTCCTGAATGAACKGAACTTTCTGATTAATGAATTGTTGAAAAAATACAAACACTGTGGAAGAAGTTATGTGCTGAAAAGTGTAGGGCAGAAAAYTGGACCTCAACAGTGTGAGTGCTTTAGAAGCATTCACACAGTAAGTTAGAGAGCAACAAGAGGTGCTGAAGCTGACAGGATAATAGCTTGGGTCGAACCTGTATCCTGAATGATAGGTCACAGCCTGTGATGTAGATGTCTGTGGAGAACAGGAGCGCAAACTTCTCCTCTGTCACAGACTCCGACCCCTTTCTGTCAGCTCGCTTGATTCTCTTTATAGACTGTGGAATCAAAATATGACATTCAAATAGGCCAAAATGGCAGAAAACCGATCAGACAGGGATGGGGAACGAGGACCAGTACACACCATATTTCTGAAGGTGGCACATGTGCTCCTGGTGGCTGTGTTGTGCTCCAGAACGGCTGAGTTGTTGATCACTTCTCCCACATTTTCACTGCTGGTACAAATCAAGATTTTAATGTCAAGTTATTCTCACTTAGAAGAACTACAGCGTATGTGAATGAAGACAAACTGAAATGAAATCTCCTAAGATGTTGTAGGTTTGATGTTGAGGGTTCAAAAATATGTGTCAACAAGTTTTTAACTTTAGGTTTCCAGTGCTTTTTCTGTCAATCAGTTAGGGCTGCACCGATTAGTTGAAATAATCGATGACGTCGATTATGTAAATTTGTCGACGCAGATTTTTTATTATCGATTCGCTGTATTACATAACCACCACGTGAATGTTCATGCAATTCCATTTYGGTACYTRAAWGCATCATTGCGACYGTATTGGCATAAGAGTGGTGAGTTTTCCATGCTTGTCCTGAACGCAGCATCGCGCAAGAGTGTAATGACGTCAGCAGCTGCTGCTTCAGTTCAGTCTGAACCTTGAAAACAAGCCTCGCAGCTCCTGGAGTAAAATTTACCGAACAGACCACCTCTGAATTATCTGGTGGATTAATTAACTTGTGAACACGACGTTCACTTGCTCAAAGTAAATAAAGTACCGCCACTTTCTTTATTTCATCCACCATTAAACAGAGAGCGGTGTTAGGCCGAGCCGCGTTCCCCCATCAGATGGTTCCCCCAGCTTCTCAAACAACAGAGGCGCTTCCCGACACACATCTGACCTAAAGAGCACAAGCAGCCAACAAGTGTTGGACGTGTTCTGGATGTTCAAAATGTAGCTTAAATACCTTTTATTTATTTTAACTGCATCCTCTTTTGTTTATTTGATTTAAACATATCACATGGACCTCCAACACACATTTTTCTAGTGGGGAAATGACATCAATAGAAACACGTGGAGCTGGATTTTAATTTGTGTAATAAGACAAAACAGTCTTGTTTTTTTAAACAGTTTTCACCTTAAAGAAATAAGTTACACAACTGATGTTACAATACAAAGAGTTGGATGTTGTCTTGATATTTGTTAAATTTTATATATTGAGAAATATGTTAAATAAAAAATAATAAATAAAAGTTTTTTATATGTTTATTATAGGTTTTCCAGAGAGTGACTTGAATTTTGCATGATTTAGTTCATTTGTTAGAGTTTTGTTTGGTTGAGATTTTATGTTGATGTTTAATCTTTTAAGCTTTTTTTGTTAAAGAATTGACTCTAGAGTGCATATTTTGTGTCCATGAAGAAACTACTACAGAAAATATTACAATATTAAAGAACTGTTCTTGTTAATTTGATGAAAACATTTTAAATATCCAGTGCACTCACATCAGAATAACTTATAGATTTGTTGTTAGATTAATCGATTACAAAATAATCGTTTGGCACAGCACTACAATCAGTATTACTAAATTATTACTAAAACAAAAATGTTCTTGCCTGCAGCCACAGTAAAAAAAATAATACCAGGAAGACAAAAACATTATGACTTGCCTGGATATATTGCCCARGTTTCTGGCTTGCTGTTCATTAATAATCTGCGCCTTCACCACCATAGGCTTCCCTGGTGCTAGTTTCTCCCCCAGCAGATATCTCACAGTTGTTGAGAACTTTGACTGCGTTTTAATGACCTGAGGGGGCTGCTTYTCTACTACAACAGAGCTGAAACACAAAAATCACGATTAAAAAAAAAAGACTCATAGCTTTACAAAGTTTTTATTTTGAATGAGCAAAAATCCTTCTTATTTCAGAAGTATGATCCATGAAGTGTGGTGCCATGGTACCTTTCAATCAGAGCCTGCAGAAGAGTCCTCAGCCTTTCTTGTAGGTCTGGGATTTTTTCTCTAGACAACATTAACTCCTGTCTCAARTCCCAATTCACCCCAAGCAGGTGCTCACACCTAAAAAAGAAAAAAAAAGTGAAAAAAAAAATCACTCACTCTTTATTTTCCCTGTTCAGGGTCACAAGAAGGTTGAGCCTATTCTAGCAGCCAACAGGCAATGAGAGGCAAGGTGAACCCCAGACAGGTGACCAGTCAGTCACTGGGCTAACACAGAAACACAGCCATGTAGTCTCTGACAAAAGAGAAACAAATGTCCTGTCGGTCTGTAGGTTAAACCCAAAACTGGAGCTGCACAACATATCGTTTGAGCATTGTCACTGGGATGTGTGTGTGCAATAATTAAATCAACGTCATCTAGGGACCAACCACTAAACCAGAAGTCACTGCACTAAATGATCACACGTTACGGCTCTTGTTTTGAAAGGTCGTTCGCCCCTGTGAGTGGGCGACTTTGTGTCGAATTTTTTTAAAAAATTCATTTTGTTGTGAAACTTCAATAAAAGGCAAGGTTTCTCTGAGAAGTGTTGTCGGTGAATTCTCGAGCTGTGGAGGAAGATGGACGAGGAACTGGATGAAAACAAAGGAAGAGGAGCAAATCTGCAGGAAACTAGAGAAGAAAAGAGGTAAAATGTGGTTAGCATGAACGCTAACAGTTAAAGTGTGACAGAAACAAAGATAAACACAGAACGGTGGTAAAACGCAATTTACATTTGCAAATAATAGAAGGAAATGTGTACTGAGGTCCCAGCACAAAAAAAGATAACGGGAATAACTGTCAAATAATGACAAAAAACATACTTGTACTAAAAAAAGAGCTCAGCATAACCTTAAGTGTTAATTTAGTTATCTGTTGAAAATTGCTGTATTTTTCATATTGTAATATTTATTGCAGTCAGAAAAAAAATCTCTATGTAAATCTGTAAAAACTATTTTTTTTATTTTCAACAATTCTATTAATAAAAAACTGTTACATAAATAATCAATTTTATACAAGTGCCATTTAAATTGTCTTTTTGTTTATTTTAAGTTTTTGGCATGTCTCTTGTGGTTTTGTCATAATCTTCAGTTCTTTATGTTTGATCACCACTGGGTGTCCCACAAGAGCAGCAAACTTTAAACAAACTGAGTCAAAACCAAAAGTGAAACCAAACAACAAGCACAACCACGTGTCAAACCTTTCTAAAGAAATGACGTATCGAGTCAGGCTGTAACCTTCATTACTGAACCTTTTAAATACAGAAAACATGATTTTTTTTTTTCAGAGAAGGGTAGCCTGAAACTGCGTTTTACTACAAATTATTCACATTTACAGACACGATCACCCAGCAGCAAAAAACTAAGAAGCAGGAAATAAAAGACAGAGGGAGGCAGGAAAGCTGTAATCAGAACCTCAATATATATTTTGTATTTCTAAATACTGTTTTTGTTGCCCTGTCTTAAGTGGAACTCTTCCTGGTGGAGCAGATCTGTGCAGGTTGGTACAAAAAATACTCAAATATTATGAGTAATGAACTTTGGAAAAACCAAAACCAAATGAATCAGGTAACATCTGGTTTGTGTGTGAGTGTTCTTCTGAGTAGCAGAGTGAGGTGAGACCTACCAGGTCTGCAGAGGGTTGAGGTTTTCATCAAAGGGATGTCCTATAACGGCTCTGTGCTGCTCACATTTCCACAACTTCATCCTGCTGATGAAATGGGTTTGGGAGTGTTCCAGATGGTCCACACAGTTCTTCATTAGCTGGCATCTTTTCTGCAACAACCAGAAGCTGAACTTGTCACACATGCTTAAAAACTTGGAGGTCTTACAAATTTAAAGAGCCAAAGTTTTGTTGTCTCTAAAGCTGTAAAGGTTGCAGACCCTCACTCTACGCTCTAAAGTTTTGTCTCACCGTCGACAATTCACGTATGTTATGCTCCAGTGTCTGGATGTTGTTGAGGAGTTTCTGAAGTTCCGTTTTATATTCCAACCCATTCTGCTGGAACTGCCCTGTGGAAACAAGACATACAACATGCTGAGTCTTGACTGCAGTCTTGCATACAGTTTCAAGTTTCCAAGGAAGAAACATTACAAAGATCAGCTTTATAAAAGAAAAAAAATCTATGGGAATTAACAGTTACTTTTCTATTATGGAGTATTAAGGCCACATGATTTTTTTTGCGAGAATAAAGTCAAAATATTACAAGTAAAAGTCATTATCAGAAAAAAATCATAGTATTACAAGAATATAGTCATTGTAAAACGTGATGTCCATTTTCTGTTCCTGAGTCGCCTCACACCAGCTGTCGACAGCCTCCAATACATGTCACTGTGTTCATAATGTAGTCTGCATTTACCGTTAGTGTAACATGCTTCTATACAATGTGACAGCTAAATCTGTCAATGCAGCCATCAACTGCAGTGCCACACGGCTTCAGTTTATCATGAGTCCATAGAGTTAAATGATAATGAAAAAAAAAAAAGTACAACTTCACAAAAGGCTCAACATTCCTCATTTTAATGCAGCGGTAAGACTGATTTTTTTGTGTAGAAGTTCTCGTAATATTATGACTTTATTCGTATATTGTTACAACTTTGTTCTTGTATTATTTCAACAGTGTTCTCACATTATTTAGACTTTTTTCTTGTAATTTTTCAACTTTATTCTGGTAATATTGTGACTTTATTCTCGTTATTTTAACTTAATTCTCATAAAATTTACACTTTATTCTCATTTTATTAAAACAAAAAGTCTTGTGGTGGCCCTAATACTCTGTAGTACTTTTCTGATGCAAAGGCAGGAAATTAAAAATGAAAAGGTTTTTGTTAACAAAAACACCAGTAAAAGTAAAGACAAAAAAAGGGGGGGGGGGGGGGGGAGAAAAAAAATTATTCTTTGCTAAACTCAAAAAAAAAAAAAAAAAAAAAAAAAAAAAAAAAGAGAAAACAGAGGGCGGGGGGGGGGGGGGGGACAGAGAAACAATTATTACTTGCTGAACTCTAACAAGCAAGAGACAATAAAAGATAAACGAACAAAAGTACGTTTGTCCAAAATAAAGTACAAATTAAGTAAATTCTACAGCTGTACATCCAATGTCCATTCAACTATCGTTTAATTAATTGTAATAAAAATAGAATATACCTGAATAATGACACAGAAACACACATTTCTCTGTTTTACACAATAAAAACTACATTAGCAAGGTGCACAAGGGTCTTTCGTTTCTGTTTGTAAAACAACTACAATAATAACTTGGTTTTATTTTATCAGTTAAAAGATAAAATTGGGCAATAAATCAACAACTTTAGCAAACCACTGAAACTGTACATAAAAGGAATAAAAAAGCTCAGAATAAATAATAGAAACAAGATAGAATTTGATGCCAAAGCATCGACATGTATGCCTCCGCCTGCCCTAGACTCGTCTACATTTAAAGCACTGGGCATGCAGTTACCTGTTGACCTCTATTTTTGGGCTTCAATATTCTAAGAAGCAACTATATCAACAATGACTAAACATGACTTCCTCTTTGATATTTACCATATCTTTAATTTCAGTGACCAACCATCCAAAATAAGGGGATTCAAGCAACAAAGATCATTTTCCCTTCAGTTTTGACCTTTGACAGTGTGACAAACACCCGGTAACGCACAGACACACAATCAGAGAACAGCATGCCTCCTTGGGCGGTGGCATAAAAAGCAAAATTGTGCACTAAGCTTAATAAAGATGAACTAAATGAATTTAAACCCAAAGTAGACTTGTGGTGAATCACAGTGTTTGAAACATGCAGACATAAAGCAAAGCAACTAATAAAAACAATCTTCACCTGTTAAATTTTCATAATTCTGCTTTTCCCAGTTGAGATCTTCTTGCAAATCGTGCTCTTTTTTTCTCATCATCTGCAGCTCCACCACTTTCTCTCTCAGCTTCCCCACATCCTCACTGTTGGGGTATATCTGTGCGATGGAATTAGGCTGTGGGTCAGTCTGAGGGTACTGTGGACAGCTGTTGTCCTGAATCTAAACAATAAAAACACCAGATGAGCATCAAGGCAGAGGAACACTAAATTGTTGAACTTTTTTCTACAAATAAATTATGAAATTATGTTGAAAACTGCTTCTCTAACTATGAATATCTGGCAGTATCTAAACGAGCTAAACCCATATAAGACTTTCACAGTTTTAGTTCTTCAGAGAAGCTGAAAAACTTCAGCTATTTTGTACCTAAAAAATGTAGTTCTCTTTTTAATAAAAGCCAAGACTATTCAAAGTGTGCAAGAGAAAAATGATACATCTGAGCTAAAACAACAGCAAAATAGCTAAAAACTACATTAAGTTTTGAAGTTTAAAGTCCCTGAAATTTATTTTTGGAGGATTTAATACTTGTTGGATGTTTTATTCATAGAGTTCATGTTTTTAACACCCTCCAGAGGAGCCCAATCAATTTGTCCTCTTACTCATTTATTAACAAACTTATATTTTAAAAAATGGCAACTTTCTCTGGAAAACATCATTTTAACAAACTACTGCAATTTTATAAAATATCTACACAAAGGTTTGTAAATAAATTTACAAAACACATTTTCCTGGAAATAACTTTTTTATATGTTTTTGCAAAACTAGTGTTAAGCCCCTTTAGTAAAAGTCTTTTATTGTATCAGATTTTTCCCTCGGCAGATGTGATTTATGTATTTTAATTACCTGCAGTCCAGAGTTTTACTATGCTTTACAACACGATAAGACAAGCTTTAGTGTCAGTAAATGGGATGTAATGTTTAGAAAAATTCAATCTTACCCTTTCCATCAGAACCTTCTCCTGAGTGAGAATATCTCTGACCAACACAGCAAACTGTAGAGGCTGGTTGTTCGCCTGGAAAACAAAACATAATGTCTTAAAAACTGACAATCAAATGGAATCAGCTCAGTTTAAACCTGAAACATAATTTATGTTATTTACAGTCACGCTGCATGTTGCTAAAACAATAAATTAAGCAGTCATTTTTTATTATTATAATGTATTTAATTTGCAGGTTTCACCAAAAGATTTGTCAGCTTTAACATTTTTAATGTTTACATTGTTAATTGAAAAGTTTAATGTGTTTGATCCCTCTCTCTGATAACTTCCACAGCTCACTGTAACATGTAGGATATTAACCTCTGAGCCACATCCTGCCTGATGATGACCAACTCATCAGAGTGCAGACAGATCACCAAACTGTGCTTGGGTTGTTGGCTTTTTTTTTAGACCACATTGTTCGTGGTGATGTTCTTGGGCAGAACTTCCTGCCCACTTCCTTGGCTGAAAAGCTCACTCAAACATGGATCATATCATTGTTGACACAGCATAAAATCCATGGTAGTTTTTCATTGTCWAATGACAGTCCAGGTGTCCCAAACAATCAAAAAGAGCTTGCACCAGTTTTCAGCTGCCCATTTGTTCTACTTCCTGCAGATTTTCACTCTGTCCTAGATGTTTTTTCCCCTTAAACAGAAGTGGCTTCTTTGCTGATCGTATGGTCACAAAGTGACTGTTATAACTGAAATACAGTATCTTCTTTCTTGAATGTGTAGGTACAYGATATTTCTTTACTAAAATGAACTCAGCTGATCATTTTGTCATGGAAAATTACAGTGATTTGCTAATTTTTTGTTATAAAAAACTTTGAAAGTGAATAATTTTCATGAATCAATATGCATGCGATCACTCTGCACAATAAGCTGAAAACCGTGAGAAATTTTGTAGCACACAAACCGAAGCAGCGAAGTTTGCAAAACACATTTGTCAAAACGTTTGGTCATGAAAGCGCTATATCATTAGGAAGACATAAGACTTGCAACACCCTCATCACATGATTACGCCTTTTTTTWTTTGGTCTTTTGTTTAGTCAGCAGTTTTAGTCAAACCAGCAGCAGCCACTGGAGGGAGGAATATATCTAATGGTTTCGTAAACTTAACTTTCACAAAGCATAAATAGGTTCATCTACCATGTTTCTGCTGATCTGTGCCAGTTTCATCCTCTCCACAACGTTGTCAGTGCGCTGGGCAAGTTCTTGCAAAGTGTTGATGATGTGATTCAACAGATCCTGTGCCTGAGATTCCAGCTCCACTTTCTCCAGTGYGAACTCATCCCTGTGTGACACACATAAACATGTAGTATTTACTGGATATATTCGCATACCAGTGTACAATATGTATTTACAATACTTTATGTGATTATATGTCTCCCTTTGTGTCGTACCATCTCTGGCTCTGAATCCAATCACGCATATAATATCGGACTTCGATGGGGAAGGTGTGCGCTGGATAGAGGTTCTGTGTCTGAAGCGACACATGTTCCAGGATCTTTTCTATTGGTACCCAACAGGCCATAGTCAAGCAGGTCTGCAACACATAGAAAGAGTTTAACAAAGTTAGATGTGCAAGTTGTTTTTTTTTATTAAACAAACTAAAGAACAGAATGTGTTTTAGTGGGTGACAATAGGTCTGCAAGTTGTGTCTAACTGGGTGAAATGTGCTTAGTGTTCTGACAGAAGGGTGGCCATTTTAATAAATGGGTTCAGGGAACTGAACATGTGGTTCAGACAACAGGGTTTAGTGTTTTAGCAACAGTGGAAAACTGTTAATTTGGACAAAAGTTAATAGCTCCTTTCAGGAGACACTGCACACAAGACAATGTGACGGACACCCAGTAAKKCACAGACGGACAACCAAAGAAGAGGACTAATGACCAATTCCAAACAATTTGGAGACTCTAAACTTCTGATATTTTTTTCACTTTATTGTGAAAAATAAAGTCAGCAGTGTGAATAAAGTAAACAAAATAACTGATCTCATCACACTAATATCAAATACAATACTCATCTTGATATGAATACTATACATACTTGGATCGATACACTCACCTCCACTACTACAAACCACAACCCCATAAATGCCCCCCCCCCACCCCCGAATTCAGTCCTGCTCTTCTGACACTTTACCAGTATGGCTTACCGTTAACCAATATGCAAATTAGCCTGCAGTACCACTGCTCTACCCATATGAGCAGCAAAAACACGTTTTTTGACCAAACATCACAGATTTGAACAAATACGCCCAAAAACATCAAAATTAGCACAGAAACAGTACTATGTAACATTTTAGACGCATTCTAGGCAGTTTATCCGCTAAAAAAAAGTTAATTTTGGGGTAAGTTACTCTTTAATGTGCACCCTTTCTGTTTATATGGGCAAGAAAATAAATATCTTTAAATTATCCACAGGGAGTGTAATGAATTATCTGTGTACTTCTCATTATAAAATTGATAAAGCATTTAAAGCATTATTGAATCAGAAATGAATTGAGAAGTTGTTAACAATACCCAGCTGCAAGAGCAAAGCTGATTTTAAAGTCTGAGCCAGTCGACCTTTTATTTAGTCAAAGTTTGAAAGTGTTAACACTGTATGTGCCTATACAACAAAAAAAACCTGTTCTCTGTATTTGACCCATCCCACGTGTGATAAACCCAAGTGAAGAAGCAGGCAGCTATCAAAGTGCTTGCAGAGAAGTCATGGAAAAGGTGTCTTGCTCAAGGACAATGGGCATAGTACTGAACCTGCAACTCTCCTGTCCCAAGTCGGCTGGTCTACAGGGGTTAGACAATGAAACTGAAACACCTGGTTTTAGATCATAACATCTCTTTCAGACAGCTTCCTCTTGCGTCCACAGTTAATCCTGTTGGATGTGGTTSGTCCTTCTTGGTGGTATGCTGACATTACCCTGGATACTGTGGCTCTTGATACATCACAAAGACTTGCTGTCTTGGTCACAAATGCACCAGCAAAAYGTGCACCAATATTTTGAGTAAAACTGTGCTCTTACCCTGCTAACTGAACCTTCACACTCTTACTGGTACAATGTGCAATTAATGAAGATTGGCCACCAGGCTGGTCCAATTTAACCATAAAACCTCCCATTCTAAAATGACAGGTGTTTCAGTTTCATTGTCTAACCCAGAGAAGTCCAAAGTGGGGCCCGCGGGCCAAATTTGGCCCGCCAAGCCATTTGATTTGGCTCACCAACAGTTGCCRAAGTTACAAGGTTGTAACCTGTTATCCTATATAGAAACACAGTATTTCCATTGGTCAAATGACTATATAAAAGGGCTGTAGTGCAGGTAGTTTTCTTTCATGGTGCTGACTTTATCTTTGATTTATTAGGATTAAACAAAAAACATGAAATGACAAGAAATATTTAGATAAGATTTAACCCCACATGTAGATTTAAACACTTTATAAGGCCACAAAAACTAACGTTTTATCAATTTATGAAATGTCCCATGAGCCTTTGCTACTTGAGGGTATGGCAGACTTTCTCCAAGTGCACAAACTAAAACAAAAGAGGGCCATTGCATAGCTTGATTGTTAAAAATAAAGGACTTTACTTTTAAAAAAWTTGTGTTTCATGTATTATTTTATTGCACTTGGCCCGCAGCCCTGGATACATTTTCATTTTGGCCCCCTCGGGGAAAATGTTTGGGCACCCCTGGTCTAACCCCTGTAACATTGACTGACACACACACACACACACACACACAAACACACACACACACACACAGTCTCTATCCTTGTGGTGACTTTCCATTGACTTCCATTCATTTTTTGGAAATTTTTTGTCCTAACCCTGACCAATTACCCTAAAATTAACTTTAACTCAATTCACACTTTGGTCCTAAACTGAACCCCCCAATAAGCTATAAGGAACACACTGCATGTCACTTCATGTAACATCCTGTGATTAATGATCACTTGTCTTTCAGCAAAGGGAAACCAGTTTCTTATCTCATTCCAGCTCTAAAGTGGCACTGACTGGATGTTTGCACRACTGGAAAATAAGTGCAGGTAAAACAAGAACAAAATGCACTGGAGGTGTCTGGCATGCAAAAATAGTACAAACTAAAAAAAAAAAAACAGGGGATGTTGTAATATATTATGACCTGACAAGTCATGCTTTAAACCAGTTTAAAAACAGAAATTACATTTTAACATTAATGGTACATGTTACAATGCACTGTGATGACTCTTTTCCATTAGAAACTAACAAGTCTAAAACCGCAAACTGGTCAGATAAATTTTTTTTAATACTTCTACATTTGAAAATGTGTCAAATGAACTTCACAGACTTGTTAGAACAAAGTGTTCCTCCTCCATCTCAAAGCAAAAAATGTTTCACTGATAAATGTCTTCAACACTTCTAAATATTTGATAACTAACTTTGCTTATTTCACCAATACAGTTGGGGAACACTTAAACTATCCTGAATCATCTGCATATTTTACCAACTTATTTTAGGTCTTCACGAAGTATGGATATTTCTAAGTACAAAGAAGTTATTTTCTGGGAGACAGGTTTTACACAGCATGTAAGTTTTTTTAGTCGACTGTTCTTGCTGTTTATAAAACCCAAAGTGTGTTCAGATGTACTGTAGGCTTTCCAGTTTCTGCAATGGGTTTTGTTACCAATCCACTTTATTCCACTGCTGTATTTTTAGTGCTAAATAATGAATGGTTAAGCAACTTTGGTTCTCTGAACTTAACTCCCTCTGCAATGTATTTTTTGTCACAGCTTGAGAAAAACCTTTGCGTAACTGTTCATATCTGCACGCACATGCATGCTMTAGTGGTAAATTTCCTCTGCAGTTATCCCACAATAGGCTCCAAAGTCCAAATCAGTCCTAAATGAAGCACTATGTTTATGCTGAAACAGTGGAGTGGGAAAACACCACAGCCTGGAATGACATTTTCCCCATCTTTTTATTTTAATAGAACATAATATTGTTTAAACTAGACCAAATCCAGATGAAGAAGGAACAACAGGACCACTATAGCCTGGTGGTTAGTKTCACGGTCTGTGATGGGCTGCACTTTCAAGCCCAGTTTGGATCACAAAGGGCATCCAGCGTAAAGCRATTTCCAAATCATTTACGAGCGTTCACTCACTGTGGTGAATTCTGCTGAAGGGAGTATTGGAAAAATATGTGTTGTTCAAAATGGTATGTCCGAATAAAACAGGAATCTGCTGGATTTCTTCTTTAAAACTTTATTTTTAATCTTCTGACTCCAATCAGGTTCATTCAGCACTGAGCAGCACAGGCCTCAGTGTACAACCTTCGGCTGAACCAAAACAAACACGGGAGCTCTGCTCTGAGCAGACACWCTGCAAAACTGACAACTTCATCTTTTTACTATAATAATGAATTGAGCTTATAATGTATCTTTTCTTCCTGGTTACACCCCAGTGGTGTTACCTTTTACGTCAGAATGTCACTCATTTTTTAGACTAAAGAAAGAACACACAAGACTATTTGTCTGTTTTAACCTTACAGACTGAAAATGACTGAAATGATCAGAAAGTATAAAATACAATACTGAATCTAATATTCAGTTAATCAGTTAGAAAATTTCCTTCAATCCATCTCGACATATATAAAATATGCCAAATCTATAAGAAATTTTATGAAAACTTTATAAAGAGAAGTTAGAGCATCTGCTGTCACATCAGGATATTTCTAGTCATTTCCCAACCCCAGACATTCAATTTTCAATTCTCCCAGACAAAAATATTCATCATCAGGGATAAGATTCATAATGCTTTCTTTCCACATTTGTTTTTTCTTCTCTGTCCATTTATTCTTATTCCTCATCCAAAGGTTCTGTAGCTTTGTGCGATAATCTGAACTTTCGCAGGGTCTTCAAAGTGGTCTCCGACCCAGTAAACTTTTTTCTTGGATGTAGGTTTTACATTCTCATTCTTAGTTGATGGTTTGAGTTCCTCTGGTGGAGGAGGAGAAGTGGTCAGTTGTACTTCAGCTGTAGCCTGGGGGAACACATTTTCTGGTTCCTCTGTTTGTGATGCTGTTCTTCCAGTTCAGCAGTTTGAAGTAACTCCTGTCTCTGTGGTTCTGTTTCAGTCTTCTTATCAGCCACTTGCATGTTGTTTTCAATTGGTGTCTCAGTTTCCTGCTGTTGTCCTTCAGCCTCAGACATCAGTTGATCACTCTCCTGTTTGGTTCCAGCCGGAACTTGATTCAGGAAATACTTCATGTTTGGAGCTAACAGCTCCGAACCATGTCGGTTCAAAGCCATTCCATCAGACTTGAACAGATGTCGTCTCTYCCAGAAGAGATCAAAATTATCCACAAAACTCACAGAGTGGTCARCACAGGACTTTTCCAAAAATCCATTAAGGGCAAACAGTCTGCTGAACCTCTCAGCTCYTCCTCTGGCTGTRGGAATGGGCCCACTGATGAATACATYCATGTTGAGATTTGTAACTGCATTCAGCAGCAGAATAAAATCCTTCTTCAGGATTTCTGMGTKTCGGTTCATAACTTYATCACTTCCT